GGAACTATGCAATGTGTCGGATTGTTGCCATTGGGAACGTCAGGATGAAGATACACGATGGATAGGAAAGGACTCTCTCCAATGTTCGGTCCAATGTTCGCTATGTTCCAGACTTAAAGAAAAATCTTTATTCGCTGGGAGCTCTTGAGGCTCAAGGGTGAAAGTTCAGTAGTGAAGGTGGAGCTATCATAATCACTAGGGTTGCTACTACTGTTCTGATAGGGGAGCGCACGAGGAACTTGTACAAACTGGTAGGCAACGTCATTGAGGGTGAGGTTTCAGCCGTAGTAGAGAAGACTGATCAATCGAGACTTTGGCACATGCGTCTAGGACACGTGAGTGAAAGGGGTTTGTAAGTACTCCACGGCAAGGGCGTGCTTTTAAGAATAACTCAATGCAAACTTGACTTTTATAAGTATTATGTTATGGGGAAGCATCATAGAGTATCTTTCTCTACTTTGCAGCATAAGTCTAAGATCTTGGCCACACTAATGTGTGGGAGCCCTCATTGAAGGCATCCATTGAGGGTGTGAGGTATTGTGTTACCATTATTGATGATTCCTCTAGGAAGCTTTGAGTCTATTTCTTGAGGCTGAAGTCTAAGGTTTTTCAGAAGTTCAAGGAGTGGAAGGCATTGGTGGAAAATCAGAAAGGGCTGAAATTGAAAGTCTTGAGGTCAGATAATAGGGGTGAGTATACCTCCGAGTAATTCAAAGAATATTTGACTAATGAAGGCATCCAACATCAGTTAAGTGTGCCAGAACGATTAGAACAAAATGGAGTAGCTTAACGCATGAATCAGACACTGATGGAAAGAGGCCACAGTCTTTTGCTACAAGCAGACATGTCCGAAGGTTTTTGAACAGAAGCGGTAAATCATGCGTGTTATTTGATTAATAGGTCACCATCTACAGCTGTTGATCTTCAAATCCCAGAGGAGATATAGCGAGAAGAATCCGTGGACTACTCAACTTTACACATATTTAGTTGTTCAGCGTATAGTCTTGTAGACAGTCAGAAGAGACACAAGCTAGAGTTCAAGTCGAGACAGTGTATCTTCATAGGATTCACTTATGGAGTCAAAGGGTACCAGTTATGAGATCCTGAGACACACAATGCCTTTACCAGTAGTGATGTGGTCTTTGATGAAGACGCTATCATGCAGGCAGATTCGAAGACAGAAGACAAGGCGCAAGGTGGAGCACCAAATGCTTCTACAGATTCTCGGGTATATGAGGTGGAGTTTTCAGAAAGCCCTGCAAACCCTAGTGGGCCTACTGATGAGACTCAAACTGGCGATGAAGACAGAGCTACTACACAGGAGGAGCAACTAATAGCGTTGAGACGCTCGAGCCGTACAGTGGTGCCACCTACTAGATATAGTTGGGAAGACGATGATCACATATCTTTTGCTTTATTCACAAAAGCTGGAGACCCATGTAGCTACAGAGAGGCCGTTAAAGAAGATGATCGTGAAAGGTGGATTACATCCATGGAGCAGGAGATGGAGTCTTTGGAGAAGAATCAGACGTGGGTTCTGGTTAATCTTCCAAGAGTCTCAAAGGCGATTGGTTGCAAGTGGATCTTTCAGAAGAAAGATGGTGAGAAATTCAACGTAAGATTGGTTGCCAAGGGATATGCTCAGAAGGAAGGAGTGGACTACAATGAGATTTTTTCTCCCGTAGTCAAACATACGTCCATTCGTTTGTTGTTGGCTATTGTTGCACATTATGATTTGGAGTTGGAGCAGATGGATGTTAAAACATCATTTCTGCATGGAGATTTGGAGGAGCAAATTTACATAAAGCAGCCTAAGGGATATCTCCACGAAGGTGAAGAGGACAATGTTTGTATTCTTAAGAGGTCTCTGTATGTGCTCAAACAATTTCCGAGGCAGTGGTACAAGCGCTTCGACTCATTCATGATCAAGGTCAGCTTTAATCGATGTGAGTATGATGATTGTGTCTATTACAGGCAGACTAGGCATTCAACATATTTACTGTTATATGTGGATGATATGTTGATAGCTGCAAAGGAAAGGGCACAAATCGAGAAAGTCATGCAGTTGCTGAAGATGGAGTTTGACACGAAGGATATGGGAGTAGCCAGGAAGATGTTAGGTATGGAGATCTCACGAGACAGAGTTTTTGGCAAACTTTGGCTGCCCCAAGAGAATTATATTCTCAAGGGGTTGAAAAGGTTCAATATGGATGAAGCACATTCGGTTTCTACTCCTTTAGACGGTCACTTCAAATTATCCTCAGAGCAGCGTCCACAAATAGTTGAGGAGCAGGAGAAGATGTCTCGGATACCATATGCGAGTGCGGTGGGATTGCTGATGTATGCTATGGTTTGCACTAGGCCCGACTTAGCCTATGCAGTAAGTTCAGTAAGTTGATTTATGTCAAATCTAGGAAATCAGTATTGGGAGGTGGTGAAGTGAATTCTATGTTATCTACGAGGGAATGCAAATGTGGGCCTATTGTTTCAGTCTTTGGAGGATAAGGGGTCTAAGAAACTACATGGATACGTCGATGTAGATTACGCAGGCGACCTTGATCAACGGAGGTCAACGACGGGGTATGTATTCACGGTTTCTAACTGTGCAATTAGTTGGAAGGCTGAGTTACAGGAAACTGTGGCTCTTTCGACGACTGAGGTGGAGTACATAGATGCAGTTAAGGCATCAAAGGAAGCTCTGTGGTTGCGGGGTTTGGTAAGGATGTTTGACATCATGCATGATTCAGTACCTATTCATTGTGGCAGTTAGAGTGCGATTCATCTTGCGAAGGATCAGAGGTATCACAAGCGTACGAAGCACATTGACATCACGTATCACAAGATTTGAGAGTGGATTGACAGGGAAAAAGTGATCGAATTGGTGAAGATCAGTACAAAGAAGAATCCGACGGATATGATGATACTAGTGGAGAAGTTCAAAGCATCTCTGGACTTCATCCACGTTCTTCAGAAGTAACTTTGGAGAAATACCCTTGGGAGGGAGTTGCATAAATTGGGGGTTGATTTTGGAAAATCTTCGCGAATGATTGAATCAACGTGATGTGAATCAATGTGGGGATTGTTGAGTTCGTGATGACTCAAATCAGTTGAGAAGCAAGATTGTGTTTAGACTCTAATTAGGATTAGTTATACTATCCTAATTAGGATTGGATGGAAGGAATTAATTGAATTGGGAAATCCAATTAGGATTCAAGTTAGAGTTCTAATAGGATTGAGCAAAATCAATCTCTATATATATTGTATCAATCCATGGGTTTGAAGAAGAAGAAAAAAGGAAAAAAAAAGAGATATATATATTTCACCATTGTTAGGGGTGTGTAGTTTCAACCTCTTATAATCTCTTCTCAAAAGAAATAAGATCTTCCTCCTTCTCCCCGTGGACGTATACGAATCATCTTAATTGTGTGGAACCATGTTAAATCTTGTTATTTGCTGTTTGTCTTGATTGCTTGGTAGATTTGGGATTTCTTTATTGTTTAAGTTTTATCTTCTACGGCTTGCATAATCCAAAATGACAAGGCTGGTTAATAAATGTACTATCTAAACTCTATCATCATTACACACTACCACATAATTGATCTATTGCAACAGTTAAGGCGCAACGGTTTTAACTGTTGCGTTAGAGATCTATCGTAACGGTTTTTAGTGTCTACTACAACATTTAATGGAAAACGTTGCCATAGACCTAATAATTGTTCCTGGGCTTAATAATTGTTCGTGGGCATTGGGAGCTAAAGTTTTTAAAGCCATCTTAAAGCCCATGGTCTCACCGCTAGCTTAAACCAAATCTCTCTCAAATACTCACGGAAAATTTTGGCCCATGGTCTCACCGCTGAACGGAAATCTCCCTCCCTCCCTCTCCCTCTCTCTCTCTCTCTCTCTCTCTCTCTCTCTCTCTCTCTCTCTCTCTCTCTCTCTCTCTCTCTCTCTCTCTCTCTCTCTCAAATCCCTAAAATCGTCGTGGCCAAATTTTCCGCTCCCTAAAATCGCCGTGGCCAAGAGCATCATATAATCGTCGATCTCATCACTAAACTCGTCGCCGTTTTCATCTTGGATCTCATCTCCAATCTCCTCTCTAATCTCATCTTCAAGCTTTCTAGGGTTTGCTCCACCTATCTCTTCTCACGATATATGATCAAATCAGGAGGTTCGATCTTTCATACTGGAGATCGAAAGACCCCTTGATTTCAGGTATTTTTTTCGATGCCTTCGTTTTCTCTAATTGTAGTTGTTTTACCACGGAATTGTTCGATTCCCGCTTGATTTAGGTCTTATGTAGATTTTGAGTGCTGATGTATGGACGAGAAACACTAGTCCCAAGAATGTGAATGGATATCTTGAATTATTATCATAGTTATTATTCGCTTCATATTTCATTTATGAGCAAATTTTGATCATTTATTGAAGAGCTCGTCACGTTAGGAGGATGTCAGTGAATCAAAATCACTTGCCTTTCGAAGTCGGGCAAGAGGTTGAATCAAAGAGCTTCATGAATGGCTATCGCAGTACTTGGTTCCGATGTAAGGTACATTTTTGGACCATGCTCTTGTTTCCAGTGGTTTTTCCATTTCCAAGTATTTTTATATGTTATCTTGCATTATGCTTGTTTATGATAGTTTATTATTTCAATGAATATGTTTATTTTCCGAATTGCTCAGATATATTTGTTTCATGGATTGGAGTTCTCCTTAGGTAGTTAAGTAGGTTGTTCTTCAAACACGGGTAAAAACCGATCTTCTCGTTTGTATCACAACTTCATCTCAGTTTTGCATGAAAACATATGATTGATGTTGAATTAGAAAATATGAGTTCACTGATTAACGATCTAAGTGTGCCTCCTCCTGGATCAAGTGACCTCAATTTCCCAACTCAGTACTCACAATCCTTCAGTACTCTTCAGTAAGAGTTCCTGTGGAAATGATGCATTCGGTTCACACAACATTGTTATACTCGGTTGAAGCTTTACAAGAAATTGTTCAATGGAAGAGAATCCTAAAGCTTCAATCTCCAGATGGGAGTTCTCTAAGTTCCCCTGCTGTCACAGCTGTTGCTTACATGAAAACTGGTGACAGTAAATCCCTAGAGTAATTAACTAACATAGTACAAAGATTTCGAGATCATGGTATGTTGTCTTAAAGGAAACAATCAAATACTATTTCTTTGATTATTTGTTAATTGTAGAACATTTAACCACTCCTTAAGTGTTCTTTTAGCACCATCGCAGTATCCAATTGACCTTGTAGAGCGCATATGGGCAATTGACACCATTGAGAGATTGGGAATTCATCACTATTTTCGCGAGGAAATTTCCGATGCCCTTGACTATGTGTATAGGTAAGATCAGTACATTAGAGAATGATTGTGTACTCTATTAAAGTTCATATGGATGTTGCCAAAATGAAAGCATATTGAAGCAATAGGCTTATATAGCTGAAGTACTGAATATTATCCAAATATATCTGACGCATATTGTAATTCAAACTCATGCATCGAATGTTGCTATAAAAAGCTGTGTGTTTGTTTAACCTAGTTAACTATCAAATTTGGAATAGGTTTTACTCATACAAATTTGTTTTTTTAGTATCTACATTTTTCATGTACATTTTTTTTTGTAGAAATATCGGAAAAAAGGGTGTACCTTATGGAACTGGAAATCCAATTCCTGATATTGATGATACCTGCATGGCCCTTCGGTTGGCGAGATCACATGGCTATGAAATATCCCCAGGTAAAAATTAAAATTATATTTACGTTGCATAGTTGACATTTGAAACAACAAACTTCTATATCAATCTATTAGACCTAATATTATTGTATTGAAACAGATATCCTTCAGCACTTTAAACAGGATAATGGGCACTTCATATGCCAACCAGGGGAGACACACACTGGAGTTTCTGATATGTTTAATTTGTACAGATTTTCCTAGATTTCATATCCAGGAGAAACAATACTAGAGGATGCAAAACCTTTACTTCAGCGTTACTTACAATATTGTATTAAAAGTCAAGTGGATGACAAGTGGTCATTGAAAAAAGATTTGCTTAAAGAGGTACTCTATTGATACTTTTGCTCACAATTCATCTTGATTTCTGTACCTGAAGTCCTTTGTATTCGTCAGGTTGAGCGTGCGTTAAGATAACCATGGAAAATGAGTCTTCAAAGACTTGAAGCTAGGGAGTACATCGACCTTTATGGAGATAATGATCTTTGGATAGGAAAGACAGTTTATTGGTACTATAAGTTCCATACTCTTGTCAAATAATTGTTTTAATTAATGAGCCAGAATATTTCAGTTGTTACTAATGATGCTTGGATATTGTAGGATGCATAATGTCAATAACCCAAAATATTTGGAATTTGCTAAGTTAGAGTATAACAGGCTACAAGCTATCCACAAAAGAGAGATTAATTATGCTCTAAAGTGAGTTTAATTAGTTCACTTTTCCCTCCTTGTTTCAATATTTATAAATTCTTTTACATGATTCTGACTAGTACTTTCTCTATTAGATGGTGGAACAACTGTGGACTTGATGATCCTTTTGTCACTCGAATATGCCCACAAGAGATTTACTTCTCAATCACAGCAACTCTATATGAGCCGGAACTTGAAGATTGTCGGATAACATACACGAAATCCAACTGCATTGAGGACATTGTTAGAGATATGCTTCAAAATCATGGATCCATTCAGGACCTAAAACTATTTTGTCAAGCAATTGAACAGTAAGAATGTCAGCATAAATTTCTTTATCACTATCAACTATAGCCATACTGAAGAATATACATACATTCAGATGGAATCCTTCACTTATTCACTCCCTCCCGCAAAGAATTCAAGTAATTTTCATGGCAATGTACAATATATTGAATGAATTGGCAACTGAAGCAAGTAACGCCCAAGGAAAGGATGTATTCCCCTACTTTCATGACCTAGTAAGTAAATTTTCCAGAGTACAGTAGATTTCCCCCCCTTCAAATTATAGATATCTAATTCACTCAGAGGAATACAGAGATCGAAACAAGTACAAGATTACATGAAGAGTAGATTGATAATAGAAACGAAGCAAATATCCTCATGGACAGAATATTTCGAGAATGGTAAAAAAGATTGTGGTGTTGCCATCAGAACAGTGCCGACAATGTTCTTCATGGGTGAGAATATGGTGGATAATATTCTACGATGCTTGGACAGCCATTCTAAAGAGAATGACAGAAGAGGCCTTCCATTAGTTAGTGTACCAGTATCTAAAGCCTAGCAAAGTACCTCGCTGCAGTCGGAGGCTGATGTTTGAACATGGAAGAATAACTCACTTTTTCCTTGGTGATAACATCAGTACCCCGCTCACTGAAAGAGAGAGGATCAGCGATGCGATGGATAGATTTTTTTTCTGCAGTTTAATCAACAACAATATTGGAGGAACCTCAATTTCCCTCCATACACTTCAGTAAGATTTTTCTTCACATTGATGATAGCAATACTATTCGGGTCTATATTCTGGAGTATTGGCTCAAAAAGGTATGTCAATATATATAAGAACTGTTTACCATATGTTTTGCTAGGTTCATTATTTTATTATCTATGGTTTTGTTGGTGTCGTGTGGTTGATTGCATATGCTTGCTGACACTCTTGTAAGGAGGCAGTTTTGATGATATATTCTAGCTATTGCTGACCGATTGCAGTTCATGAGAATGGCTTTCATGCATCATAATTCATAAACTTGAGATATTGTCTCTAATTATGCACTTTTGCATATCAAATCGAATACCTTTTCCACTTTGTTCATTGTAGACTGGGAAATTTGATTCCATGATCTTCTATATAGGAAAGAAGTGATGATGTTGTTTGAAATTTCATTCTGGTAAAGTAGTTCTAGAACGCATGGCTTAGACTTTTAGCTCTTAATGATTAATGATTGTTTTGTTGTTTAATGTTAAATCCTAGCTAAATTTAATTTTCTAATTTCCCTAGCACCAGTAATTCTTTTATGCTTTCTATCCTTCCTCTCGTTTCTTATTTTTCTCCTGTTTTACCTTTACAATCTATTTTTCTTGTATCTAGTACTTATGTGATTCTTTTCATTTATTACTAGTTAATCACTTCTCTTTGAGCGATGGAAACAGTGGGTGATTCTAGATCAAGTTCAAAATAGAAGAGATCATTTGAGGTAAATTCTTTTAAAAATCCTAGTTTTTATACAGGAAGATTTTATTCTATACAGGTATACTTTGTGCTCTACATTTGATCACTGTCTTCAACCCTGGGCGAAGCCCCCCACCCTACACCGCCATCGCTAGCTACACATACCCCCTCTCTCCAACCTCCAAGTAACCTCTGTTAGTATGACGGTTTAACAACAGCGAGCACATATATATTCTTCTTTTCTCTCCAGTTCTCTCTTCAGTCTCTTTTGATTTTAATGTTTTTCATCATCCCAATTACAAAAGTAATGCCTTGGCTAATGATCTTATAATTTTAGTTTATATTTATCCCAGGTTTACTGCTGCAATGTTTTTCTTATTTCATCATTGTTGTATATTACTAGCAGTGAACATGTATGTCGTACCATAACCAATGTCAAGCTTCTATCCAGCAAACGAAGTCGTTATATTACTTGCTTCATCCAGAGGTCAGTGATCTAATAATGTTTTTTTTGGTTATCTTGACAGATGTTCTACAAGCAGGCAAAGAAAACCAACCGGTGCTGTACTATCCTAACTTCACGAAGATTACTGCAAACCCAGTTTTAACTTTGACAACTGAATCGAGCATCGATGGAATATGGGTGGCCGAATACCTGTTACACTTTATTTCATGTTTTGTAATCAAATGTTGATGTTGTTTGAATGTTAGTTCGGTACGATATTTTCTGAGTTGAAATGTTGGTAGTGTGGATTTAATACTTTGTAGTTTTTATACTATACCGATGTATGTTGGCACTTATCATTATGGTTGATTATGCTCAACATTTTCACTTTGATATTGTATATTAAAATTTGACTTGGGCCATGTTCTTAAAAAGATTGTCCATGTAATTGAATACTATATGATTTTGACGTAGGGAACTAAGAACAACTCAATCGGAACCGTTACAATAGCTCAATTAAAAACGCTACAATAGCTCGATCAAAACTGTTGCGATAGTTTAATCCAAATCGTTGCGTTAGGTCTTTTAAAACTGTTCTAATAGCTAAAAAATCGTTGCAGTAGCTTAAAAACTGTCGCAATAGCTCAATCAAAACCGCTGCAATAGCTTAAAAACCGTCGCAATAGCTCAATCAAAACCGTCGCAATGGCTTAAAAACCACTTGCCTTTTAAAACCGTTGCGTTAGATGCGGGGGCAACGGTTCAAAAAACCGTCGCAATAGAGTTTAAAACCGTTACGGTAGAGGTAGGGCAACAACAGCATATGAGGCGGTTTGAGAACCGTCGCACTTACTCAAGGGCGACGGTTCCATGGCTAGTGCAACGGTTTTGAACCGTTGCGTTAGAGCAAATATGTGGTAGTGACAAAATTTGAAGTTTCTAGCGGCTTAACATCGCTGATGGCGACTCTTATGTATTTATTAGAAAAAGAATATGGGCCGGTCACAATCAGAGCCAAATTAATATCATTGACAAAAAATTTCTTATACAAATAGAAGAGCTGAAAAGAATATGTGATGATAAAGAACATATGAAAATAATTTTGTCCTAAGTCGTAGATTTTCTTAATTATAGTAATTTAAGTATAACCATTAGCTGTTTCTCAAGACAAAGAGAGTCTCCCACTAAATAGCTCTTTGTTATCGCGCAACTTACGAGCATTAAGTAATAACCTAATGCCTTAATGATTTCTTAAATTTTCTGATACTGCTGTGCGTCGAAGTAAAGGATTCACTAGAAATTTTATTTTATTCTAATTTATAAATCTTCATGTATATAGTCCAATAGCTGTAGTGTTAGGTTTGCTTACTACTGATCAATCAATCTCAACTTCAATCATTCCTCAAGGGAAAATAAACTTAGATGCACAAGTTTGTCGTTGCAATTAATCAACTGATCTTAATTTAGTTGGATTAATTACAATTTTGTACCCTGATATATGATGTACTTACACAAGTGACTTTTGAGTCTGTAGCGTTTGGTTTTCTTACTATTAATCAATAAATCTCAACTTCAATTATTCCTCAAGGTAAAATAAACTTAGATGCACAAGTTTGTCGTTGCAATTAATCAATTGATCTTAATTTAGTTGGATTAATTACAATTTTGTACCCTGATATATGATGTACTTACACAAGTGACTTTTGAGTCTGTAGTGTTTGGTTTTCTTACTATTAATCAATAAATCTCAACTTCAATTATTCCTCAAGGGAAAATAAACTTAGATGCACAAGTTTGTCGTTGCAATTAATCAACTGATCTTAATTTAGTTGGATTAATTACAATTTTGTACCCTGATATATGATGTACTTACACAAGTAACTTTTGAGTCTGTAGCGTTTGGTTTTCTTACTATTGATCAATAAATCTCAACTTCAATCATATATAGGGGTAATCTCAATGTTACTGATCGTAATTTACGAGAATAAGTCTAAGTTACTTTTCGTCTAGTCTCCAAGGTCACATGCGTAGTTACTAATCTCATGTTTGTTCGTGTAAATACATAAACTCCACAATTTATAAGGGTAATTTTAATGTTACTGATCATAATTAATTACGGGAATAATCCTGAGTTACTTTTCGTCTGATCTCCAAAGTTATCTGTGTAATTACAATCATACTTACTCGTGTAGACACACAAACTCCAAACTCTCCAAACTCCAAGTTTGCATACCTCAAGAGATACCCGCGCACTAGTACTGCAGTTTAGAAATGCTCCGAGATAGGACATTCCCCGAATTGCTGGCACTACTGACGCGAGCACATCAGCACAAAACCCCCACATGTCGCAGCATGAGACCAAGTGCTAACGTGATTACGCACGTTACCCAACTTGAGTTCTATATATACTCTAAAATAATCCAACATGTTCCCACTTTTTCATAATTCGAACCTTTAGTTTCCAACATGTTGGTGCACATGGATCAGTCGCAATAACCTCATCTTCAACAATATACCCGTCACCCCTCAGTAGTTCATCGCCACTAACGTCGCTCGATTTTCTCTATTCTGTTCAGGAGCATCCAGTAGCAGGAGAGCTCAGAGATCCCATGCTGCAACAGTCGATCTGGGTTTTAAGGAATTGACTAAAACGGCAGCGGAAGATGCAGTGGGGGAAAACTTCGCCCCAGGAATCTAAATCAGTTCAGGCTCCTTTTCTTTCTTCTCTCCAGCCTATGAAGTACATAAACTCTCTGATATTTTGTGGTTGTTTAGTTATGCTTGTTATGGCCACAAGTGTGGCAGTATACTCTTGTGTTTTTGCTGTTTTTTTGGGTCTGTTGTCTTGTGGATTTGCTATTTTTCTTGGGTTGGTGTTGACGTTGTCTGATGCCCACCTAAGATAGCAGCTGCTACTACTTTTTCCGTTCTAAACATTCTGTAATCGTTTTCTAATTATATATATCATATATTATGAGTAGGGTACCTCACCCTACTTTTTGTTAAAAAAAAAACCAAACCTTTAATTTTCTTTCGTTTTGCTATAATTAAGCCTTGTCATGCAAACCTAAGATATCCCGATCTTCACTCAATTGTTTATCAAAGTTAATTAATGAGTTAATTTTGAAAAATTATACTATCGTACGTGCACGTACGATCTACATCCTCGTAGATCGATGTACATGGTGGTTAGATCTGGCTACAAGGAGTATGATTTAGTACTATATTTTGATTTGTTATGCACATGAGCAAGTCTTGCTCTCCATTTATTCTTTTGGCGGCAACCCAAAAGTTCTAATTGACCATGGACCTATTAGCTGACCTGAGCGATCTTAAAACATTAATTAATGTAGAGGGTGGGTTAAAACCTCGTCAATCTCGCACAAAATTACAAAATCTCCCCGCTCGTAATGCTGGAGTCTCGAGCCATTTGCTCGTAATCATATTCTTTTTTTTTAAACAAATATTATCCCATCGAACTAGAGCTTAGTGTACTCGTATGAACGTAAAAAATGATTGATCGACTCACTCAGCCCTCCAAAAGTTTAGCTATTTCGGTAAAACATTAAAAACTGAGCTTTTAGAAATACCATATAGCATCGGAAAGGCTAGTCTTGTAAAAATAACACCCAATTTTGTCAGGAACCCTAATCCCACTCAAAAATTTTGGGGTCACTGCACTTTAAAAGTTATCTCAAAACAGACCAGCAAGTATTTTAGAAGGTTACGTGACGTTACTACAAGAAGAGCCATACATCTAGCTAATTGGAACTAGTTTTGATCTCGTGCTCATGTATAGTCTTTTTTTCAACGTGTAAGTTCTCACTGCATGCAAACTTTTCTCCCTTTTCTCATTGCAATTTTTTATTATTGTTATATATAAAAATAAAAATAAAAAGAAAGAGGAGAGAGACATTTGACCCGTCCTTTTCGGCTATTTCTAGAACAAAAACCCGAGTGCGTTTCCCGTTAGGAAACCATCGATATCTGCTTCGTAGCACACCGCGCTCATTTATGCTGTCACAGTAATAGAATCCTCCGTGAAAATACGTACACGGGCCAAAAAGAAAAAGAGAGCCCCGCTACAAGCGAAAACGATGCCTCCCAATTCCCTGATTTGCACCTGAAATACAAATGGACCCACAGAGCGAATAAGTTCACCGGCGGAGGCACCGAGGGTTTCTTGTTCCTAAAAGCAGTGGGACCCTCACACCAGTTTTGGCGGGAACGTTTGGCAGATTGGGATTCAGGGCGCAACTTAGGACGAGTGTAACGGCGGGGGGGGGGGGCCACGGCCAAGATTCCATGTACCGGTTTCCACACAGGTGGTCCCGAATTTTTCGGGTACGGACAAGCCGCCGGCGTGAGGACACCCGCGAACAATTCAGTGGCACTCCATGTAAATAAATCCAGAGACAAAGGGCTTTCACGTCGCGAAAGATTCCAAAAATACAATCCCTCCAGCCTCCTCCCCATCTCTCTCTCTCCTCTCCTCTTTGCTCCACTGAGAAACTCTCAACAGGCTCCAGGTTGGACCTCATTTAATTTTAATTTTGTTATTCAATTTTCCTCTTTTTTTTAATGTTTCCGTGTTTTTATACGAATCGGTTATGATTTTAATGATGTCCTTCAATTAATTTTTCAGATCCCTATCTCTCTAATTAACTTCGTCCTCGTCTCTCTTCACTGGAGAATAGAAGAGGGGGCGGACAAATTAATCAGGTGAGCTTCGATTTTCTCCGATTCAGTAGTTTTTATTAGGTAGAAGATTAATCAGTTCGATCTTTGTTAGAATCGAGTGTACTTTGATAGAAAACAGTTGTCTTTTTTGAATTTGATGTGTTTTTGAGTTTCTTGGTTGTTTGGATGAGTTATTTGGGAATCAGATGACGCGTTTGAATAACATCCCCTCTTTTTTTAGTAATCGTGTTTTGATTTTAATATAAATTTTGATTTCATCTTGTTTAAATCCTTATTTTAACAAATAGATGCTCCAGAATTTTCATGTTCAATCAGTTGCAGTTCTTGAAAGCTTAGATCCATATTAGAATCGAGAAATAAAATCAAAAAAAATTCTTAGCTTGCTACTCCACTTGTTAATTCTAATCCTTTCTGATATGAGTGTGTTATGTGCTCTTTGAACTTTGAATTCATTTGGAAACTCTTTTTTCTATTGATGTATTGATGTTATTAGATCTTTTTAATAAATTAAAAGTGAGGACAACTTGGAGGATCAAGTATCTTTTATTTAGAGACTTTTGCAAGAAAAGGCAATTTTCTGTTGTATTGCAGTTTTTCATGCGTCAAGTCAGGACTTTTGAGTGTTTGGTGTTAGGACGGTGCGCGTCAATTTGAAATTAAAGCCAACTTTCTTTTATTACATTACCATGTTGTTGACCAGTAATCAAGGTTTTGGATAGTCATTTGTTCAAAATAAATGAGTCACCAAGCCAGCTTCGCCTTTTTATCTAAACAGTTTCAAGAAGGTTTTGCTAGCTCTTGGAGAGTCCAATTCAGCTTGTCCCTTTATGTCTGAGTATGTTTAGTTGGGTATTCTTTCTTGAGTTTTATTTAGGTAACAAACATTGCATCAAGATCTCAATGACCGCGTGAAGATCTGTTCTGATATACTGCGTTGTTCCATCATTGCCAGAATTAGCGGAGTGAAACTGAGCAAGATTGGCCATTGAATTGTTCCTTATAGTTCAACGTTGGTGCATGCTTTGGACCTTTGGTCACGTTTTGACTATTATGTTTCAGCATCCCTCAGAACAACTTCTCTTGTTGCCTGACTTTAGCACCTCATCTTATTCTCTTAGGATTTTCTTCGTAGTGTATAATTCTGATTCAATCGTTGATGAGTTGTGTTGTGTAGGCCTTCTGGTGTACTTGACAACCCGTTTGACTTTATATCATCCTAGGATTTTTATTAAGAATCTTCAAATATTCCTCAGAACAACTTCTCTTGTTACCTGGCTTTGCCACCCCATTTTATTCTCTTCGGATCTTCTCTAGAGCATCATGACTGGACATATAATCTGATTCGAATCGCTGACGAGTTGTGCTGTGTAGGCCTTCAGCTGTACTTGAAACCATGCCGTGACTTTATATCATTTTAGGATATTCTTGTAAGAATATGCAGACATACCTTGGAAGAACTTCTCTTGTTACCTGGCTTTGCCACCTCACATTATTATGTTCGGATCTTCTCTATACTCTATAGTATCACACATCGGATATATTATAATCTGATCCTAATTGTTGACAAGTTGTGTTTTATAGGCCTTCAGGTGTACTTGACAGCATGTTACGATTTTATATTATCCTAGGGTATTTTAGTGAAAATCTTCGAAGCATCCACTTTTTCCCACTTGGTCTCATCTCTAACCATATTTATTTTTGTTTAAATTTTCTCTTTAATATCTTTACACAACTCGCAATCCTAGTGCGTCTTTCAAGTTCAAGTACTATTGGATGTCAGTCCAAGGATAGACAAAAATCCCTCGTGGTTACTGGAATCGGACTAGATCCATATCATTCAGGAAAGGATATGTTGATAAGGGTAGGGAACGCCAATTTAATACTTGTAACACACAACAGTGGCCTGAGCCTCTATCTATATCTCAAGACCTTATGGTGCATAATCACATATTTGACATATTTATGACCTTTTTAAATTGCATATGTGATGCGAAACGAAACAGGGGGTCTATCGGGATCAGCGATTCAATTTGAACAAAGCACTGTTTCGCCCAAAATCATGATATTCGGTAGGAAATTAATTCAAAAATAATTAACGCGACAGATGGATTTTAACAAGATTTGCAACAATAGTCATAAACTGTTTCAATCTCAAATATTTTAATCACAATATTAATTATCATTTCGCAAGTTCTATATTCAATATCAAAATTAATCAGTCACATGTTCAGTTCTCTCTAACTCACAAAAATAGATTAAGCAGTGAATATATAATAATAGTTTAGAGATTTAATACGCATTGCAATTAACTAACAATTATGAGATTAACAGAAAATTACTGAGTTGAGAGTTTATTGTCCAAAATGCCGAGAGAAATCCAAAACCCATTAGAAGAATTTCTTCAGTGAAGCCCAAACCCATCAACTGCTACAATGAAGCCTAAGCCCATAACATCAACAAGCCCACACACATCGATATATTCTGATCTGATTCCTTCTGTGTTCTCTTCCTGAGAGGAAAGCGGATGAGCGATGCTTGAAGGAGACGACGGGTGATGGTGGCCGATCCAAGCAGCGACGCGCGATGATGATCTGAACAGCGGCGTTGACGAAGTAAAGGCGGAAGACGGCGATACGGACAGATCTGTCTCTGCCAGCTGGACCTGTCTGTCGAAAAGATAGCAGGGAGGAGCTGAGTTTGTGGGGCTGCTCAATTGGGAGGAGAGCAGAGGGTTGAACGGATCTGTGGATGGGGAAAACAGATCAGGAGGAGATTGGGATCTGGGGCGTTGATAGTTTCTGATCTGGAGGAAGAAGAGAGGGGAAAGAATTGGGTTTGTGGAAGATGTTGGCTGCAGTGGGATGTGGGTTTTGGCGTTGGAATATGAGAAGAGTGGTTTTGTTGTGGTGCTGGAAGAAGGTGAAGTTGGGTCTGTTGTTGTTGAGGGATGAAGACGAAGATGTGATTGGGAGTTTACGTGGAGCAGAGAACAAAGAAAGATGACGGCTGGAAGAAACAAACGTACACTAGCCTAGGGTTTCACACCACAAATAAGCCAATGCAAATTTCATTTCATCAATTCATCAATGATTCAAAAATCTGATTACAGAGCTCTTTTATAGAGCAATTACAATCCCACAAATCACTCTAACCAATTATTAACTTCCAAATCTAAACCTAATTTGAAATTCAAATCTAAACCAAAATTCAAAATTCAAAATTCAAATTAACTACTAAAAAAAACTGAAAAAATTAAAGTTCAACTACAAATAAAGAAATGACATTCTTGTCCTCATCAATATGTTTATGCGAGACCCAGTAAATAAACAAATCAATCAAATTACAAACACATAAGTACTAAAAATAAATAAGAACACCCATAATTACATGGTTAAGCCTTTGGCAATACATGCCCTTAGGCGAAGACAAACAAAGATCCACTGACTAAATTTAGAGATGTGGTGGTGGAATATCTACCAACCTCATCTCAAACCACATTTCAATTTCACAATAACAATGTATTTCACAGTAGGATTTTGTTCTCCATAAGGTAGCTACTAGCTACAGATGAGAAACTGCAATGTAGAACGGGTCAATACCCAGGGCTCCATGCTCTCCTGTTCCGCCATAGAGTTCCAAATAACTTCTATAATTTATTCTCTGCCGAGGATTGTCTTAAAATCCTCTCAGACTTCCACCCAGCTTGCTGTGAACTTAGTTAAATACGCGTGTCTGATTGTTATCCATTTGTACCCAGATCTCCATATTTTGATAGTGCTTTTGGTAATGATCTCAATAGCATGATTCACCGTCATACCATAAAGTGAATTTGGTCATAGAATTCAAAACACATATAACAAACTTCCAGCTTAGTTGAATCTTGCTGGTTCTAGTGAAATACTAGAGGCTCACAACGTAGGAAGGAATTCATGCATGATAGTATCTTTTAGAGTGAATAGTGCCCATCATCTTTCAATGCTTATTTATAGTTCCTATATGGAACTCTTCACATCAAACATATTACTGCAGAAAACATATATAGATGTGAATCAGTTGTTATTTGCTAATGGTTAATACAAGTTCTCATCAACTAGAGAGGTAATTGTTTAATCTTTTTCCTCCTATGTCAAACTCATGGGACTCTCATTCAATCACTATGCTCAAGTGCAAAGTTTTCTAAAACAAACTAGACTTTTGTTGGTGGTCAAATATGAGAGTAAATAAATTCTGCACAATGGGATCACAAGTTTCTAGATGGAAAGGCAAAATAAAGCAATTTTCTGTAGCTAATTTGGTTTGTTTTCAGTGCGATCGCTTGACAAATTTTCTCTCCAAAGGTATCAAAATTTAATGGTGGCTTTTTCATATATTGTAGGGGAATATCCAAGTGAATAAAATCCTGTAGCACATAATGTTATGTACTTGTTTTTGTTTCTCGCATAACCATGGCTTTGTGCATTACTATATGACGATGATGTTTTTTTTTCCTTTTCAGATGGAAACAATTGATGTTCATTCTTGTACTCATTGTAGTTCTAAATCTTTTTGTGAATATCATTAGACAAACGTTCACCACAAATTTACTTAGTAACTCTCATTTTGTTAAAAATTTAAAAATTCCCTGATGAAGCTAGGTCTTGGAGATGAAGAAGAAACATAGACTAGAGAAAATCTTTCAGTCAGTCTTCGGTAATCACAGCGATGCTGAGAATTCTGAAGCCTTGCCAAACAGGGAAGGTGATGATCTTTCCTTCTATCAATGTTCTTTTCATATTCCTTATTAATATCAGTTACTTACTATTCCTTTTCATATTAAACAGTTTTCATACTAAAATTTAGGTGAGGAGGTAAATAGCTAATGGATGTAATTGTATTAATGTATGTTTCTGGGTAGTGATTCACTGTGAACTCTGAAGTGTGGTATTTTTAGTATTTGTTGCCCAGGCAGATTATCTGTTCAAAACCTTTGGTGATACAGTAAGTAAATAATGTTTTCGTTGTTGCTCCAAACATTCCGTTTAAAACCTACGTGCGCGTACACACACAAAGGCTATCAGTAAAATGTTTAAAGCTTAAAATTGCATTATAATTTCTAGAAAAAACTAAGCTTCATCCCATTATAGAATCACATTTCTTACATATGCCAAGATAATGCTTGGTTCACAAAAATATAGGGACTAAATGGGACAGATTCAATGTATCAGTTGAACTATCTCTACCTTCTGCAATAGCCTTAATTGACAAAATCCACTTACTGGTGCCATCCATATCCAAAATTGTCACAATAAGGTCTATTGTATCTGTTTCGAAATCTGACCTACTTACAAATGCTTTTCCGATCAGCTTCTCTTCATACAAGATTTTGGTACAACTTTCAAGAGCTATTAGATAAACAAACAAATTAAGTTTGTGGTGCATTTCTTCTAACGGTAGACAATTCATGGTTTGTTTACTATCGTAATATTCGGTTTTTTCAAATAGCTTTTGAAAGTTAATATTGCTGTCGGGGTTTTGTTAAGCATACCATCAATGAATATTCTTCTTCTTTTATTGAATATTTTTTTTTCATTTCTACTGCAGAAACTGATAAAAATGTGGAGAGAATATTGAAAATGCTACGCACAGAAGGTAGTGACGTTGACAAGTCTGAACTAGCTTCCCTTATTGATAATATTCACAGAGGGTACCAAGTTGTCCATGGACGCTATGATCATTTAATGGGCAAACTAAAGAAAAACATTCGACCAAAAAGCAGTGACAATGGAAGCTTTTCAATTGACTTTCCCTCATCAGACTCAGAAGACTCAGATTCGAGTTCAGAAGATGATAAAAAGAAGAAACGAAATAAGGTACAAGAAGACGATGCAGAGCATATCTCTATCCAGGATCATCAAAGTCTTCAGAGACAGCTTGAGGATATGAAGATAAAAAATAATGAGCTTGAGACTGTGGCTTCTGCGATGAGTGCAAAGCTTAAAGAAGAGCAGAGTTTAGCAGCTGAAATGGCGGAAAGTGTTAAGACCTTACAAGCTGAAAATGATGGCCTGAGAAAAGAATTAGATGTTTCACTTAAGAAAGAGGAAGATGTGAATCAAAAGATTCAAGCTTTATACAAGGAAAATGAATCTCTAAGATCAGAAAATGCTGAAGCATTGAACAAGATACATGAGGCAGGCAAATCAATAGAAAAGTTCCAAATTGAACTCAATCAGATAGAAAATGACATGAAGAGATATAAATCTGAAAACAGCATCTTGAAGGAGGAACTTGAAAGGACATCTGAAGAGGCTGCTAACTTAAACAAGCGACTGATATCTGTAAGTGAAGAAAAGGAATCTTTGAGATCAGGGAACTTTGTATTTCTGAAAAGGATAAAGGAATCTGAGAAAGCTTTGGCAGCTCTCAAAGACCAAGCTGACCAGAAACTTAAATTAGTAACTGAAGAACTGACATCAGAGAAAACTACTTTGTCTACTGAAAATGAGAGTCTGAAACTTAGGCTGGAAGCTGCTGCTCAGCAAGAGGCCAATATGACCCAGAAAATATCAGCTGCAGAAGAGGAGATCAGCGTTCTGAAGTCAGAGATCCAAAGGTCATCTACTCTGATCCAAGAGGCTGAGAAAACCATTGGAGACTTGGAAACTGAATCGAAACGTCTGAGAGATGAGAACCTAAAACTGTTGAATGTCAACAATGATTTGAACCACCAGTTGGATGTTAAAACTGTTGAAAACGAAGCTATGAAAACAGAACGGTTGGAAGCTGTTGAAGTGATCCGACAAGCGGAGGAAAAAATCTCAATGCTATCAGTACAAATAGAGACACTGAAAGATGAGAGCTCCAAATTGTTGGTTGACAATGGAACCCTAAAGCAAGAGCTGGAAGCAACAAATGGTAAAGTTTCTGCCCTGATGCAGACTTTGGAATCAACTGAAGATGAGAAGCATTCGTTGGCAATGGAAAAGTCTGCACTTATAGACAAGATACATCAGGCTGAACAGGTCATTGATGATCTGAAAGCTGAGACAGAGCAACAAGAAAGTGAGAAATCTCAACTGCATATCAAAATTAATGATCTGGCTCGAGAACTAGAAGCAGCCAATTCCAAACTTTCTGATCTGAACAAAGAACTTAATGCCAAAGAGGAAGAAAAGAGTGCATTGGCTTTGGAAATTTCTGGGCTTATGATCACCTTACAGGAAAGGGACAGCAATAAGAAAGGGCTAGAAAATGAGCTGGAACACTTGAGAGAGGAAAATTACATACTACAGCAGAATCAAATGAAGATTCAGGAAGCTGAGAAGACCATAGATGATCTCAAGGCAGAAGTGAAGCAACTCACAACTGATAATTCTCAACTTAAGGCTAATGTTAATGATCTGGGTCGTGAGCTTGAAGCATCCAATCTCCAGTTGACTGATACAAATAAAACACTGGTAGCTGCAGAGGAAGAGAAGAAGATATTAGCTTCGGAAGCTTCTACAGTCACAGAGAACCTACAGCAAGCAGAAGTAAAAGTGGGGAAACTAGGAAACGATGTGGTGCAAATGACTGAGGAGATTTCTGTGCTCCTTAGCAAACTGCTGGAGGCTGAGAGAACAATAAGTGAGCACAAGGATGAAATAAAGCAACTAAGAGATGATAAAAGTCAGTTGGAGAAGAAAATTAGTGAACTAGGCCTTGAATTAGAGGCGGCCAATCTCCAGTTGGTTGATCTGAAGAAAGTAACCGAAGCCACCGAGGAAGAAAAAATTTCACTGACCTCAGAAATTGAAACAATCAAGGGTGAACTTCAGCAGGGACAGCACAATCTGCAGACGCTAGAAGGTGAATTAGGAAAGCTTCAAGAAGAGAATGTCGTGCTTGAGCAAAATCAAAGTGAGCTTCAGCGTCAAAAAATTTATCTGGAAGAAAAGCTACGGGAGAAAGAGAAAGAGAAATGCAATATGGAAGAAAGCTACAAGGAACTCTTAGCGAAGCTTGAAGTTGCTGAAGGGGACAAGGCAGATGAAGACCGAGAGATTGCAAAGCTAAACCAAAAAGTCCAGAATCTAGAAGTACAGCTCCGCCTATCAAACCAAAAGCTTAAGATCACAGAAACAGAAAGCAAGGAGACAGTTGAAGGATATATCCGAACAATGGAAGGAATGAAAGCAGAACGCCAAGCAGTTGAAGAACAGATGCTAAAATTATCTCGAAAGATGAATCTCTTGGGAACTGAGGTTAAGCAGTTGAAAGAAGTAGCGGAGTCTGGGATTTCAGACTTAGCCAAAGGATACAATGAGCTAGAGTCCGCTTTCGAAGAGAGCAGTGGCCACATCTTAAAGCAGTTATCTATATGTAGTGAAGAGCTGAATGCACTGAAGAAGTGGGTCACTGAGCTGAAATATGAGAAACAAGAGCTCTCAGTGAGACTGAAGTACAAGGAAGGGATTATGTCGATGATGAAAGATGAATCAGAGAGCATCGGAGATAAACTGAGTAAAAAGGAGCAAGAGCTGGCTGTACTGAGAGCACATGCAATCAAGTGTGAGGAGAGGATGAAAGTGCTGGAGGAGATGTTGAGGGAGAAGAAAAAGGAGGTATCAGATAAAGATGAAGCAAAGAGAGAGGCTATAAGGCAGCTGTGCTTGCTTATTGAATACCACCGTGAAAACAGCGAAAATCTCTACAAACACCTCTCTTCAGTACTCAAAAGGAGCAGACGATCTTCGTGAGCTTGAATTTTTTTCTTCTTCAACTTCGACCTCTGTTTGTGTTCGACATGTACAGAAGGATGGAGACTGGTGTCTCTAAGCTTTGATAGCTGTGAGCATTCAGTAAGTTTCTATATTGGAATTCATTTATTGCTTTGATTTTCTAAGTAGTTTGTGGGTATTATAGAAAGTTTTGTTGCTAATAAACTCAATATTGAGAATTTTTATGTCCGCCCTTATTTTGTTGTGAATTTTAATAATTAGATGCATGGTACGGTATAACAATCCTTTAATATTTTGTCGGAAGGAATGCAGTTTGTCACATTGCATATGAGTCGCTAAAGGGAATTTTTACGTAATATTTTCCATACATGGGGGATCAAATTTGAGAGCTGGATATTTGTTAAGGATGTGTGCCCCTCTTTTCTTTTTTTTTCCTTTTTCTTTTTTGTTGTTTGATTATTGCTTGAATCACTGGGCCTCTTTTCGAGTAATACTTTCTCCTTGATTACATTAAATTAGGGAAATTCGGGTTCCTCGTTTGACTATAATGACTATATTAGTAGAGGCCGGGGTTTCTCCAGCTCTCCCTTTTAAACTTCATTTCTTACCATAGTGCTAAAGATCCTTGCTGATTTACAGTGCATTCTACATTCCATTTTCGTAGTTCAGAATGCTCCCAATTTGCTGGAATGATACAACTACAATTTACCTAGAAAATAGGCTTATTTCTCAAACTGCGAGATACATGAATCAAGATCCTAGGGCACACAGATGCAAATTCTATCAGCTGTTCAACTCCCTTGACTGGAAAAGACAAGGCAAAAGACAAATTCTCTCACAGCCTGCGAAGCTCATGGATAATTCCTAAGCACGCCCTCTATTGAATGTTGGATACAAGCACAGCAGACATAATATAATATCGCTCAGCTGTTAATTACAACAATTTTTACTTAGCAAGAACATGATTCATTAACTATTGGCAAACAGCAGTTACAAAACAGACCACAACTAACAATGAGATAATATTCATCTAAAAGCTTATTAGCCTAGACAAAAATCAAGTCTGATTGCTTTTCATCCCACAGATATCACAATTATGGGCGACGCATCTTATATTACTCTGGTCATATCCTAAATTTCAATACAAGGGCCGAAGAAGCAACTCGCTCCAGAATGAGAATTGAGAGAGAATATAACTAGCAAAAGATAATCTTAATATCCGTGACGGTAAGTTAACAATAGATATTGTAAACAGGGCAAATCTCTCCTTTTTGCCTACCGTCCAACTTATTATTCAAGTCAAGGCGAACACCCAGACGTCTAAACGCAGATATGCCTCTGAAGTGGTAAGGATATAAACAAAGGTCACAGAGCCTTAAATCCTGAAAATTGTCTGCTCTTTTATGTCCTCTATCTAGCCATCCGCCTACAAAAATAATAGTCACCATCCGAACAAAAAAGAAAAATCTGAATCCTTCTTCAATCTGATATTCTCATCTCCACTCCAAGAACATCTTTCACAACCTCGTATGTAACAAATGCAATCGCAATGGACGGCACCACCTGGACAATCCAAAAGAAAATTTTATTGCTGCCTTGCTTTTTCAGTAAAAGGGCGTGGAAATATTTTCTATATGGAAAAAGTTCAGAAAACTAACATGAGCTACTAGAGGATTTGCACAAAACTATCGTAAAACAATTTTATCTAAGAAAGACAACACAAACTTCAAATTTGAAAAAAGATATCACTCACTGCCAGAAAACTACCCTAACTGTATTAATGATATTGTTAAGTCTAAAATACCCGAAATAGACGGGAAAGAGCGTGAGGGAATAGTTACATAAAGTAAAATAAGGGAGAAATGTCCAAATATGTCACATGCATATCACTTACCAACTTACATGAACCTCTGTCAGACATCGTTTAGTGAAAAAAGCTTGTGGTATATTTTTCTAATATAAATATTTTATGGTATTTTAATGCAAAACCTCTAGTAGTTCACAGTAGTTTTGTGAAATTTACCCTATTTCCAATAAACACGAGGGAATTAGGATTTAACCTTCACTGAGTTTGGGACAAGGCCCTTGTATAAGGCTCCAAGTCCTTCATGGCGCACAGTTTTCCTGAAAGCATCAATCATTCCAGAATATTCTACTGAGTTTCTCCCTTCGCCCCTCACGATTTGAGAAGCATCTTTCCAGCCCACCATCTGCATTCTCCTCCTAATGACATCGAGAGGGTAGGCGACAGTCTGGCCAACGGTCCCAGCAGCAGCACCGCAAGCGAGCCTCGTTACCACACTCAAATCCGAGTCTTGAACAAGTCCAGATGGTTTGGACTTTATCAGCCACTCCTTCAGAGATTCATAAACAGCAAAGTTGAGGCCAACATATGGGACCTGCGATACATCATAAAGTATGAGCTTAAAAAATTATGGAATAATTTTGCTAAGCGATGTATGCAATGGAGGTTGAACTGTAAAAGAGATCAAGTAATATAGGTCAAAGGTGCAATAGCAGAATGCAGAACAACTCTTACAAAGAGAGAAGAAAAGGGGGGGGTCAAAAAAAGCTATGGTTGCTTAATTTGATATAAGGACAATAATTATAGAGAGGAAAAACTTACAACTCCAATAACAGACGGAAGCCAGCCTTTGTACAAAGCACGGAAGCCTTCTTGTCGATAAACCGTGCTTAATGCATGGAACATTCCTTTGTACTGGTAAGGGGAATTTGCAGTCTGCATCATAATTGAATTATACATGGATGAGTATCAACGGGAAGTGGAGGCTATTGTAATGCTAGTGCATGACGGCATGGCTAGCAAGATAATATCTGATAAAGATACTCAAAGATATCTCCTCAAAGAAACTTAAATCTTTACCTGGACAGTAATCCTGCCCCGGACCATGTCCATAGGATAAGTGGCAGACATAGCAATGATTCCAGCACAAGCTCCAGCTCCAAGACGTAATACAGGTGTAAGCTGAGCATCCTCTGTAAAAAAAGTTAAAAAGAAATTAAGCAACTAACTTTGCATTCATGGCACATCAAATACACGATACACGATAACTATGTGGTGCAGAACTTGAAAACTCATCCAAAAGTTAAAGGAAGAGATGTTGCCTCCAGCCTTTCATCCTTGTCACAGTACTATAGGTTGTTAAAAAAAAGGGGGATACAAGGGTAGCAATCAAACTCAGAGCAAATTTAAATTTGGCTGCACTATCTTGTCTCTGAGCAATCTAAATTTGTCTAGTGAGAAATACTTAAATGAGGAAGAGAAGGGTAGCAATCACATGAGTAAAACTTTAATGAGTAACGGGTCAACTCAGATAAGTCTAAATTTGACTATACTACCTTTTATCTCTTTTCTATTCTGTTCAGCACCAACCAGTTTTAAAAAGCTGGCTTTGGAGAGGCTCACAGAATTAATAAAAAGACAGCTCTGATGCCATAATTATACCACTATCAGCATAACTGATAAAGAAAATTCCAGAAGTAAAACAACATTTGCAACTTAAAATCTTACAATGTATAGCTCAATGTGGAAAATCGGGAACAGATACAGTTGTCATGCAATATAAAGAATATGGATCATACGTGTAGCATAATGACTGAAAAGACTCAACCCACTGTTCCAACAGAAGCATGCGTGACCCCAATGAAATTTACCCTCTGTAAGCCATGCCATAGACATGAAAACTTCACAATCATATTTGGGTCAGCCATGGGAGCCGAGAATATATGTCAAGATGTTCACTTCTAAACGTGCTATGTCGAGATATTTAAGACTGAAGTCGATCCTAATATACAGCGCCTTTGGTCAGTATATATTCTTTTTCAGCTAGAAATAATACTGCATAAATTAAGAGCTGCATCAATTGGAGAAATTTATAACATTCACAATGTAGAAGACAAAATCCTGCAGCACAAGGCATGCAGCTCAAATTTCCATGAAATTGATTTGTCAGGTTGAATAGTTCCTTATAATAGTTGTGAATGTAACAAGCATTACATATATACAACACGCAAAAAATATTTATGCATATTGAGTAAAACTTTACACAATCATTTTTCTATTCACATTGGTCGAAGACCAAACAATACAACATTAACCCATAAGTAGTAATGAATTAAAAAAAAGTAATGACATATGAAGATTAAATGGTCCAAAACAATAGACTTGAATGACAGATATGTGGACATACCATTGCCAGATTGTCGACGATAAAGCCACAAAATCCCACTGTGACAAAAAACAATTACCAGTCAGAGATGAAACTTAAGTGCTTATCACAAGCAATGATACTGACATAATACAATATGTAAACACAAAATAAGAACAGGAGAAGGCCATTGTTAAATGATTAATTATGGGATGTTTACATGTTTGTCTTGATATTTGATGTTTGTGACAGTTAGGTAGCATGCCTAAAATATAAGGTTGATGGAGAAGTTCAAACCAGTACAAATTCTTGTTAGTTACAATGTCAGCACCAACAAAGCCTTTATCCCTGTTTTTAATGTTGGTCCTGACAAGAGCTAAATAGATGCACAGCAGCTGAAACTAATTTGTTTCTTCAGTTTTTAAAAGATTCATACTAGCCATATTGACAATTACCTCCAAGGAAAAAAGTAAAAAAATAATAGTAATGATTGTTGACAATATCCTAGAGTAGAAATGAATACCAAAACAAAGCATGTATTTAGTATTTAGATACAAGGAATGTATTTACTATTTAACATAAAGAGAAGAAATAACTACCTGCAGAGAACCCTGACATTTAAGTATCAGTTGTAAATTACAAAGATGCTATGGATTGTTCAGATTTCTTTAAAAGCAGTGTTATAGAGAAGACATCCACTGGGTGCTGTGCTGATCCAGGGGCAGCACCAATGACTGGCCCAGATCTAAACAAATTTGCTACGTACAAACGAGTTAGGGTATCAAGCCTTAACCCATTGCTTTTTCCTCTCGTGGTTAATGATGGCGCTGGGCAGTACTGTACAGCAGCAGCAACAAAGCCTTTTATCCCAAAATTTCAGGTTCAACTACATGAATCTTGTTCTTCCATCCAATTCCACTATGAATGATCTCCTCCATTAACTAGTATCATGTCCTTCATAATTGCTTACAACCATGTACTTTTAGGTCCACCTATAATCCTCTTTAATCTCTCAAAATAAAATTGGAAAGGGATTTTTCTTTGGCTGTTTTTAAAGGAGATGATTCTCGCCTGATAGAATATAATTGAACATTAGTTGATTATTTCTCCGAGACAGACTCATGTGTTTCTTTCCTATTCCTTTCTGCCACATCTGGTATATAATTAATAATAAACATCAGATTCAACAGTTAATCAGTTATCTAACTTCCCTCCTACCCAGCTGCTTATGCTGTCCAAGCATGTCATTCTATTTCAAGTGGCTTGTCCAAATTTTTTCTAAATAGGTTGCAAAATAATGACAAATCATGCTGCAATGTTTGGCCACACACTCCTGTGTCTACTTCCTCTTTCGTTTCTCCCATATGACTGGTATATAATTAATAATAAACATCAGGTTCAACAGTTATCTAACTTCCCTCCTACCCAGCTGCTTCTGCTGTCCAAGCATATCATTCTATTTCAAGAGACTTGTCCAAATTTTAGAACCTAAACAGGTTGCATAATAATGACAAGTCGTGCTGCAATGTTTGATCACAGCTTAGAGCTGGACAAGGATTTACATAAAGGGCCTGTTTGTTTGCCCCAAAAAAAAGGGAAATCAAAGAAATAGAAAACTATTAAATCAAAGAATTATTTTGGGAGTGTTTGGTTTGCTAAAAAAAAGAAGAAATCAAAGAAATGGAGATGAGTTGTCACCTTATTATAGGATGATGTGAGTGATTTTTAAAAAAAACTTGTTTTGATGTTGTTTGGTTGGCGAAAAAAATAAGGAAATGAATTATAAGAAACCAATTTCTTAAAAAAGTTTGTTTGGTTATTTCTTAAAAATAAGAAAATAGATGAGCTGAGATGAGTTGTCATTGTATTATTGGGTGATGTGATCCAAGATTAAGAAAAGTGTTTTCACAACTTTTTGGGATGAAAACAAAGAAATGAAATGTTAATGAGATGAGATGAGTTGTCACAATCTTATTGGATGATGTGGGTGATTTTTAAATATGAGATGAGATGAGTTGAGTGATGTTGTTGATGAAAATAATATTTTATTAGATGTGGTGGATGTGATGGATGAGTTGTTGGATGAAAATAATATTTTATTAGATGTGGTGGATGAGTTGTTGGATAAAAATAATATTTTATTAGATGTTGTGGGTGAGTTTTAGGGATGGAAATATGTGAAATTGTACTTTTGGAGATTTCTTGCTTTTCATTTCCATTTTTCGGTTTTTTGGGAAATAACCAAACAGGCCCAAAGTGGAAATAACAACAATGGTCTTTCTTCATGTAAAGTTTCCATGAGACTCAAGTATTATTCTTCAATATATCCTTCATCTATTTTCGATGTTAACTCCAGTTTGCAAAATATATATGCTGTAAGAATTCTTCTCAGTTATGTTTGTAAACAACAGCTGGCAAAACGACGAGGTTTGGGGATTGAATAATCAGATATTGCTGTATAATTCCATCAAGTGCACTATAAATTAATGAAAAGATACCCCCC